CCCCACCCCACCCCCCCCCCCCCCCCCCAACCCCCCCCCCCCCCCCCCCGCAAAAAAGAGAGAGAGAGAGAGAGAGAGAGAAGGAAAAAAGGGAAAGAGAAAGAGGAGAGAAAGGGAAAGAAAAAAGAAGGGGAAAAAGGGGGGGAAGAAGCACATCATTAAGGGCCGAAAGGGTCTTGGCTACCAGCTGTCACCCCCCCCCCCCCCCCCCCCCCCCCCCCATTACAAAATAAGAGAGAATGACGAAATGGGAAAGAAAAAGAAAAGAAAGATAAAGGGAGGGGAAAAGGCAGAGGCAATTAAAGGCCTTTCTCCGCGATCTTGGGGGGTACTGAGCACCTTTTTTGTTTGGCCCTCGAAATGTTAACAATTTGCACCACCCCCCCCCCCCCCCCCCCCCCCCCCATCCCCCTACTAGATGCGCCACTGCCTGTAGTTTCATCCCTAGCTAGCTGGTTAAGCTGAATATGGGTTATCCAGTCGTTTCATTCATTAAGTATAATTATATCTGTATCAGGGATATGAGAGTATATCCCTGTTTGTTTTGACTATGTATACGTGTGGACTAGAGTACGGACATTCGGTGCGGCAGGCGGACTATTGGTGCGAGACCTCTTCAGCACAGATTGTCCGTCAGACATTTGAGGCGCGCACGGAATGTCCGACACGGACATTCTGCGCGGATAAAATCCGCACCGATCGTCCGCTCTCGATCGATCTCTAATAGTCGGACGATCGGTGCGGGTTACATTCTACGCGGTCACACCGGGTCCAACTTCCAATAATACACAGATCCTCATTGGACAGAACAAAAACACTCATTATATCTATAAAATGAATGAATATTTTTTTTAATTTTTATATTAGTACATTTTATCTATAATGGGAGAAATAAACATCATAATGAAGTCTGACTGCTAAATATGAGATTGAATTCTTATCTTTGTTCACTGAATTTTGACCAAAAGAAAATTATACTATAGTACAATAGTCTACTAAGGTACGAAAGCTCTCATTGGTCCATTACTTACTGTGCCGTACGTGGATGGAAGAGCTACAGTGTAAGTATAATTCGACGCTCGAGTAAAGTTGGAAAATACTACTTTCTTTCACCTTTTATTATGATCTGCTGGAACAATGTCGAGAATTTCTTAATTTCAGGAATTATAAATTGTGGAGACCCAATTTTCTGATGATATTGTTAGTGGATTAGCAGTATTTATACAATTGCATGCCTGCTCCAGCACTTCTGCCAGCGGAACCGCAATGTGAATCACCCCTGGTGTACCCCGGTACAATACATGACATATCCGGTCAACGTTGTTGTTGCAGACCGGCATGTCTAGCTAGACTCTAACTTAGACGGAAAAAAGTAAAAAAAGTAAAATAAATAAGTAAACTTTAGGCTAAAGCTTCAGCCTCTGATCTCGATGGTTGTTTTATTGAGACTACGTCTGGCTCCACTAACCACCTTTACAGGAGAAGATGGACAAATGCCAGTTTGTATTATTTAATTTCCCGTAGATCTAGAGTAGGCCTAGAGTCTCCGGTTTGCGGCATCGCCCGGTTTGCGGCCAGGGGTATTTGTTTTAAAAATAAAATGAATATGACTCGATAATAATCATTGAAACCTACCGTGGATTCCACGGTAAGTTCTGCTTTGCCGAAAACGTCCGTAGCAGGTGCTCCTGTCGGTACGGAGTATCCGTCAGCGATGTCGGAAATCTACGGCACCAGTCGCCGATGAAAATTCCAGCAGGTGCTAACTTTTAAGTTAAGAGATCGAGGCATGACTAGATCAATATTGTAGCTCTATTTGTCCGATATTTGTCCGATTGGAGGTGAAATTTGATGTTTTTGTGGAAGTATGATGGCTGTGGTCTGTCTCCTATCGCAGATATTTTGATTGTGCCACCGCATGGCCAGTTGCATGGGGTGGCCGCAAACCGGCACGTAATTACTTTTTTTTTCTGGTTTGCGGCGGGGGGTGTTAATACACACATAACATGCGGGATCGTGTATGATGGTATGTGTGCTGATGTGTGTACCCGCTATGACACGATAGTTTCTAGTAGTACTTACCCCCGGATGGGATGATCCATTCGAGGAAAAGGTGAAATTGTTTAAAACTTGACAAATTTACCGTAGCAACAGATAAACATGAGAATTTGGGTTACCCGTAGTAATTTGGTACATGCTTTCATCGTGACGTAGCGCATAAAGCTTTGTGACGTACGCGTGCCGCAAACCGGTAATGCGTGCCCGCAAACCGGGGAACTCGAAGCATTTCGAAACGTGGTCAATGCTGACCACGCTGTGGGTCAGTTAGGTTATTTGTGACTTCTATTTAATAAGTAAGTATATGGACTCTTTATTGAGGGTATTGAAGTATTCTGTGAGTATTCCAATAAAAATAGAATCAGCAGTTCCCGCCGATCAGCCGCAGACCAGAGCCACTACTCTAGATTAGGCGTAGCCGCAGGGCGGTAGGCCTACCACAAATCACTGACCAGGCCATGTTGATTGTCGTGAGTTGACCTCACGCTTATTTCAAATTCAAGGCTATCTAGGCAAAATTTAGGGAGGTCAGGATAACATCACACACTAAAGTAACAACTGTATTGCGTGTCTTTGTAATGTTCTGAATCTGATTGTGCATGCAGTAGTCTTTGAAGTTTGACTTGTCTTTGACTCTTTCACTTTGATTTTTTTTCCCTGTTCTCTGGTTCTGTTTCCATACAACCTTAACTCCAGGGAGCTCCAACGACGATTCATAAGTGTCGGAGCTTTCTGGGGTTGGTGTAACCTGGGCCCTGGGGGTTGTTTCAAGAAACCAACTGCAGTAGGGGCGCTGGTCCGAGAATAAGGATCGTCTTCACAAACGAGGATTGTCTTCGAGAAACACGGACCGATGCATCCTCAAAAATAAGGACCGTCTGCATTTTGCAGACGTTTCATATTTTTGATCGGCACATTGGCGATGCAAAAAACAGATTCTGCAATGATTTTCTTGATGCATTTTACATTGACATTGTACAGAGACATTCACATTTTAAGCAATAAATCCTTGGGAAGACGGACAACCCATAAAAGTAGACGGTGAACTAGGGTTATTTTCCCCCAGGGAATCCATTTTTGGCATCGCCAGCGGGCGGTTCTGTAACATGAAACCCCCAGAGTGCCGATGAAAAAAAACGTTCTCGAAAATGCAGACAACCCTTATTTTTGAGGACGCATTTTGTCCTCGTTTATGAGGATATCCTTGTTTATGAGGACGATCCTCATTCTCGGACCAGCGCCCCTACTGATGACAGTCATAATTGTATCTTTGTCAGCGACCTATGGAGATGTCAGGAAGTGGATAAACTGCTTCACAAAACCATGTCCATTATCAGTGACAAATATGTGAAAGGGGCTGTCAGTAATCTTTCTTTGTTGAGTGTGTGTGAACATGTACAGTAGTCCTGTTGTTATTGTTTTAGTTTATAGGCCTTTGTCATTCAGAAGTGAATATTTAGGCCTCTTCTCTTAGGATTTTTTTTCCTTTAAGATTAGGTTGTTTTTTTTCTTCATATATAATCTAGATTTTGATAAATTGGATTTTTAATAGTTAAACCGTTTATGTTGAAGAATTCGGTGGCTGGCGAGCAAAAGGCCTATCGGCTATATAGGACGCCCAAGGACCAGCTCGGACACGGTACATTGTGTCAAGCTTCTCAACTCAGCCTAATGCTGAGCCTAGGCCCTCCGACGTCCACCAATAAGTATAGTCGTCTCCACCGCGTTTCTTCAAAATTTTGTCCAAAAACCAATAAGAAAAAGAACATATACATGAAGATTCTAAACGATTATATAGGCAGTTCTCTCTTCTAAATTTTGTTTTCCTTTTTGTTTCACTATTCTTCTTCTCCATGTATTACTCACTATAAAACAGCGAAACTTCTTGGGCTCAAATATTTATGTGCGGTGCAAAGTGCATGGTTAGTAGGGGTACAAGTGTACCCTTTTGGTTCTAACTACAAAGTTGACCAGAGCCTGAAAAGGACTGTTGGTAGTCTTGAAACAGACTGTTGGTAATCTTTCTTGAGCTTATAGTTGAAGAGGATGGGTAGTGGAGTATATAAAATTGATGAAAATAAATTTAAAAAATAAACGTTATGACTCATAGTTTTAACATTTATATATCAAATGTTTATGTGATATGATTTTTATCAAGATTTGGTTTGAAAATCGAAAATTTCTTGAGAAATCCCTTCACAAAAAAGTTTCTATGGTAGACTGATGTACAGTACAATATGTACAAATTATATTTGTCTTATTTACTCATTAATGCATTAAAACCTTTTAAGAACAGTTTGTAGGTTTTTTCTAAGGTCAAATATTAACACTATTAGAAGTGATAAGTGAAATGAGAGCTTGAAGATCAAGTAATAAGTTTAAGAAAATAAAATTTCGGTTTTAATTTTTTGCTGCCCATAGACTAACTTAAAGTTGCCTTAAGATGGCGTTCTAAATAAATATGATGCAGGTTTGGAGTCGTGACAAGCAATTGTCACGGAAGTTGTCTCTCATATTTGCAAAGACAGTTTTGTGAAACACTTAGCGGACAAGTTGAGCGACATTGTCGAGATGTCGTTGATCTTGTAGTTATGACGGCCAGGAGGGAATAGACCTCCTTGCATGGTCACTGGCAGGTGCTTATCTCATCAACTCAGCTCTCAATTAACACAAGAAAAAGAGAATCATGGGGGACCAATGGTCACTGATTAGGCATTGTTTTCTATATAGAGGGAGCAAGTACTGTAGTTACAAGTAGTACAGCAGGGCTTTAAGAGGCCTGAAACCCCATCCCTTGCTCTAAACAGATTTCTCATGAAATGTTTTGACTTATTGTACTGTACTACTTCATAAAAGTTCACAGTCTACTTTTGATTTAAAAAATGTTCTATTTTTATAGACTTTGTATTGATATATTTGTTGTATCTTTTTTTCCCCCTCATGATTACAGCAGTCTGCACTCAACTTGCATCAAGCCCAACATGGAGCCCCTTGGCATTGCGCCCAAATTGTGAAAAGAAGTCTGCATCTGTCAAAAGCAAGAAGCACCAAAACGAATCAACACAGTCGCTTTTCCACTGACGGTTTGAGAGGCATAGAGCGGCAGGGAAAACGATGAATTCATTCACTTTTGCCACCCAGCCCCAGCTCATCAATCCCTCAGTCATGAACGCAGCGACTATAAAAAAGGAGAATGTGTCGGAAGATCCACCTAAACCTGCAACATTTTACCGAGATACCTCCATCCGGCGTGTCGATGATGAGGACACAAAAGAAGGTGTGAAGCTGGAAGGACTAAAAGACACAGGCCTGGGTGATAAAGGAGCATTGGATGTGCATGTAAAGAAGGAAGAGGTGGAGGAGGAGGAGCAAGGGAAGGAGGATTCAAATACAAATGAACCAAGTGTAGACATTTATATCAATAACGTTGTGTGTGCTTTTGGTGTGAGATGCCATCTAAATCTACGGAGGATAGGGCAGTATGGTTCCAATGTGGAATACAGGAGAGAATATGGGGTAAGATGGAATTCACTTCTTTCTTTTTTTATTTAAAGATGGAGAAATAAGAAATTGTGCTTTCATTACTAATAGGGTGTCTGAACGATTTTTCAATTTTCAATTTGGGATCGTTTTTCACCATTTTTGTTTGATATTTGAATAAAAAATGTTATCAGAATAATACATTTCAAATTTCATGTCTCACCGATGTTTCTATCAAAAGTTACAGCCCCTCCAAAACGCTGGTATATTCATATCATTTTGGTCAAAATCGACGAAAAAGACGTCAACGCAGAGTGATGTTGTTTTGCTAAATTCAGACAAACAGCTGTATCGCTCGATATGCAAGCGTATGCATATAGTACGCATGTTGCTAAGCCAATGCGCGACTTGCAGCTTGAGCCACGCTGTCTCCGCGATATGATCCATTGACTAGTATGGGTGGCCGTTCGCGGCATAGAACCCGGAAGTGAATACACGTTGTAGTCAATGGCAATATCGCGGAGACAGTGAATACACGTTGTAGTCAATGGCAATATCGCGGAAGGGTCATTCCATGTCAAATCACCCAATGGTTTTAACCCGACCATTTTTGATTTTGATGAAACTTAGTGTACTTGTTGAGTGTGATCTCACAGCACCAAATCCAAAATTTTAGGTCAATCGGGTGAGGGGTTTGGGAGATACGGCCCACAAAATTTTGAGATTTTTTCAAAAATGGGGGTGGTGGGCCTACCTTTGAACCCTTGTATCTCGGGACCTAATGGGTCAATCTTCACAAAATTTGTATTGTCGGAAAGGGTATTCAATAAGGATTCCAATTCTGCCGCCATTTTGAAGATTCGTACATGTTGGGGTACTTTGACCTCTTGACCTCAGGTTTGACCTTGAAATTAACCTTGTGGATCACGTAATTTTGACAACATTTTTCATGAAATGTAATCTTTGACATGTACACTAAAACATGTAAAAGTTTCAGAGATATAATATTTTTTGTTTAGGAGCAATAAGGATTGAAAGTATTCATCCTCACAGATATTCACAATACACCCTATTATAATGTATACAATACATGCAATATGCACAGTACAACATACATCTTCCACATGCTTTTTTGTTTTAGGCATATCCATCCTAAATGTCAGTAGTACTTGAATAGAAATAAAATGACAAGTTCATATACATGTACATGTAGGCCTAAAGGGTTAACAGGATGTATGGCTTTAGGCCTCTGAGTCGGTTCTAGGATAATTACCCCCCTGGAAAATTAACCCTCAGGAAATTCCCCCCCCCCCCCCCTGAGGACAATTACCCCCCCAAGGACTATCACACCCAGAGGATTATTACCCCTCAGAAAATTACCTCCTAGGACAATCTGTCCCCCCCCCCCCCGAGGACAATCAACACCCGGACAATTTCCCCCTAGGACAATTACCCCCCCCCCCCCCCCCCCCCCGGGAAATTACCCCTCAAGAATAATATACCCCCAAAAATAAATCTGCTTTGATTATAACCACCTTACTATCAGTTTGGACTTCCACTTTAACGAATAGGGGGGGGGGGGGGGTAATTGACCTCTGGGGTAATTGTCCTTAGAGGGTAGTTTTCAGGGGGTGAATTTTCCAGGGGGTAATTATCCTAGAACCGACTCAGAGGTCTAAAGCCATACATCTTGTTAACCCTTTAGGCCTATATGAACTTGTCATTTTATTTCTATTCAAGTACTGCTGACATTTAGGATGGATGTGACTAAAACAAAAAACATGTGGAAGATGTATGTTGTACTGTGCATATTGCATGTATTGTATACAGTATAATAGGGTTTATTGTGAATATCTGTGAGCATGGATACTTTCAATCCTTATTACTCCAAAACAAAAAATATTATATCTCTGAAACTTTAATATGTTTTAGTGAACATGTCAGAGATTACATTTCATAAAAAATGTTGTCAAAGTTACGTGATCCACAAGGTCAATTTCAAGGTCAAATCTGAGGTCAAGAGGTCAAAGTACCCCAACATGTACGAAACTTCAAAATGGCGGCAGATTTGGAATCCTTATTGAATACCCTTTAAAACAATACAAATTTTGTGAAGAATGACCCATTAGGTCCCGAGATACAAGGGTTCAAAGGTAGGCCCGCCACCCCCATTTTTGAAAAATCTCAAAATTTGGTGGGCCGTATCTCCCAAACCCCTCACCCGATTGACCTAAAATTTTGGATTTGGTGCTGTGAGATCACACTTAACAAGTATACTAAGTTTCATCAAAATCAAAAATGGTCGGGTTAAGATTTTCAGATTTTTTGGGTGATTTGACATGGAATGACCCGGAAACAACGTGCGTTGTCTCCGCGATATTGCCATTGACTACAACGTGTATTCACTTCCGGGTTCTATGCCGCGAACGGCCACCCATACTTTCATTCACTATAATGTGTAATTGAATTTGGGGTTTCGTTCGTACGCGGAGATGTTACGCGATGTAACCATGGTTTGGACTGAGCGGAGCGCACGCCCCCTAATTAGCTGATCCACCAAATAGCGAGAAGGGTATTTTTAAACTGTTATCAGTTGTGATCCCTGGGGGCTAGCGAAAATATAAGCACATAAAATTGTTCCTTAGGACTGGGACTACTTATCGATCGGGGCGTCATATCTCAAAAGTGACAAACCTCAGAGTTAGCCAGGACACAATGTTTAAATTGCTGTTTTGACCAAGATATTTTTAGAATTTCGGGGGCTACGCCCCTTTGGAAATATTGGAAATATTGGAATTCACCTGCTCTTTCATATGACACCTGATTTATTGAGTATCACCTTCAGGATCACAACAGATAAAGGTTTGAATCTCGAATTGAAAAAAAAAATTGACTTTTTTTGCATGGTCGCGCAATGCACGTAGGCTGCATAGGGATGCGTGTAATCTCTATGGGAAGAATTTTAGCACACAACATCGGGTGCGCGATCAGACACCCTATTACTAAACTGTATTGATCTTGTTATCCAAATTATGTTTGATGAAAATCTGTGATTTGACATTCAATAAGCAGATATTGCATGGTACAGGTGTACTCAGTGCATATTTTAGTGTCTCATTGAGGTTGTAAAACTTATTACAATATAAACAAAATATTGTTTTATGAAGGTTTTATTTCAAATTAAAAAAACTTGCGTTGTCTCTTTCAAAAGTCTAGTAGAATCCAGACTCATTGCAGGACCCAAATGCCTGTTATTCTTACATGTAAAAGCACTTATAAAATGTATATAATTCTACTGATATTTGCAACCTACTGTACACCTACTAAATGTTTTTAAAAAGCATAAAGTTATCAAGTATTGTTTGTTTGTTTCTTTATTTTGTTGTTGTACAATAACACAATCTCTTTGGTTATTACAGAAAGTAAACATGAGGTTCCGCCGTCCGTCCGCAACTGCTACCATCTGGTCTTCAGGCAAAATCACCATCACAGGCAATGATAGGTAAATACTATACAAATATTGGCTCCTTAGAGGGGCATGGTTAAAACTATTTGGCATGGTTGAAACTATTGCCCAAGGTGATCTGGAAACTGTACTGTGCCCTGAAAGGTCGAGGGGTATAGTGCTGTCTCGAGATCACCCAGGAGCTTTAGTGTTAACCACGACCCCCCCCCCCCCCCCCCCCCCAAAAAAAAAATAATAATAATAATAATAATAAAATAAAATAATAATAAATAAATAAATAAATACAAAAAAAAAATAATAAAAAATAAAAATAAATAAATAAATAAATAAATAAATAAAAAAAAATAAGCAGTATTTTTTTTTCTTCATATGTACCTCATCTCCTTTGAGATCACTTCACAAATTATGCCTGTCAAAGCATTTATTTAAAGAGTGGAAGGAAATTAACCCACCATTGAGATGAGGAATTAATGTAAAGGAATGAATGAAACCATTTTGATGATTTTTAGAATTCTTATGGGATGGACCTTAGCATGTGCCATAAAAAATAAATAAAGAGAAAGAAAGATCAACACAGATAATTGTTTAAAATCCCACTTAAACAGATGTTAGTATGCTACCATGTGACATTACATGTGAGAGGAAGAAAGAAAGGATTTTGAACGTTAATTGAATGATGCTTTGCTTTTTTAAACCGCTGGCTTTAATCAATGTCTTAAAATGTTTGTATCATGACTGTTTTGTTGTTTCTTTACAGTGAAGAACATGCTAAGAAGAATGCAAGGAGATGTGCAAGGGCATTGCAGAAATTGGGTTTTAATGTAAGTAACAACTCTAAAAAAAAATTGAATATTAACATGAATCTGTCAGCATCTATCTGTACATTTGGATCAGATTTCTGATATACATATAGTGATTTGGATTAAATCTGACATGTAACATGATGGTGAAAATGTTGTTCATATCCATTAAAAACAACTTTCTACTGTGCATATGATAATAATACGTACATGTACCACTTACATAGTGCAAATTCTGTCCTAAGACATATCAGTGCGCTTTACATGAATTACATCATATAACATGACATAAAAAAGATACTGCTTAAATTAGAAATACAAATTAACTGTAACATTTACATGTATATCCCAAAGACAGCTTTACCTAAATACTTTAAATAAAAATTACAATAAACTACAATTATTACCAAGCAATCAAACTTCTGAATAAGAATGTATGCTAAGAAAAGAGGTGGGATTTCAATTGTTATCTGGAACCATAACAAAGGATTCCAGCTGTAGCTCTTGTTTCACACCGAAGATTGAATTAGCACACTACAAGGTTAAATGTACATGACTCATGAATGTTTAAAACAATCCTGAATAGATATCTGTACACTGTACACATAGTTTGCCCATGTACTGTACATGTACATGTCTGTACATTATAAAGTGTGATGGACATCTGGAAAGAAAGTGAGTCGACAAGGGTATTACATGGATTAATCATTGCATTCCCTTAACTTGCATGATTGTTTTGGTTCACTCAAATTAGTCCAGTATATTCAATATTCAATAATAATAATAATAATAATAACAATAGTAATATTGGATCCTTGTATAGCACACATGTCTGTCATACTTGACACTCTTGGCGCTCCACAATTATTACCCCAGCTTTAGAATTAATTCCTGCCAGGTACCCATTTACATCACCTGGGTTGAGTGTGGCAAATGTAGATAAAGGTCTTGCCAAAGGACATTATTGCTGTGGTCGGACTTGAACAGCGAACCATGAGCTCCAAAGTTTGTTGCCTTATCCTGCTTTGTACCCCACCATTCTTCACTTAGGTACTTCACATATACATGTACTGTACATGTATTGTAAATACCATTTATTTTCCTGTCCTTTTTCTTTCAGGTTCGGCTTTCAAAGTACAAGGTTGTAAACGTTTTAGGAACGTGCTCGATGCCGTTTGCTATACGAATCAGGGATTTCTCTGAAAAACATCAAAATAGTGCAAGGTAGGTTCCTGTTTTCTCACGAAAGGGAGTGGCCTGTCTGGTTAAGCCAATCTACATGTATGTATGCTTACTCACCAACATTGAAGTGTAGTTCCATTAAAAAATGTCAATTATCTGTGAAAATAGAACTTCCTCACTTTCCTTTGACATGTACTGTATGTCAGTTGAATACACATGATTTTAACTTTTTTGTTTGTTGGGAGGGGGGCAATATGTGTGTGTTTTGTATTATTTTGACTCCAATGGCAATCAAAATACTCATTTTTATGACAAAAAATGGTCAATTAGAAGTTGAATCATTTTCAGAAAAATGGAAGAGAACAGTTTATTCTTAAACCAGGCAAATTAATTGTGGAGCGTCAAGTCTGAAAGAACCCAATTTTATTATGAATTGCTGTGGAAAGTGACAATGCGCGACCAACATTGAAATTCGCTGAGGGGGACACCTTCCCTCCGCCAGTACAGTAAGGGTCAACTCTAAAATAACAATTTTATTTTGACAATCTGACAATATGGGCGTCCCCTCTCCCAACCCAGTCCTGGCAAGAATTTGAAATCTTACTTTATTCCATTCTCGATCTAGTTACGAGCCTGAGCTCCATCCTGCTGTCACCTACAAGCTCTACCAACCCAGGGCAACTCTTAAGATCTTCTCTACAGGTAGCATCACAGTCACAGGTAAGCAGACTTCTAAGACAATCGGGGCCCATTGCATAAAACTTACCATTGATGGTAACTTTGCCATCAATGGCAACTACCATGGTAACAGGGCTCAACAGCCAATTAAATTCAAGGTTTCCATGGTAGTTACCATTGATGGCAAAGTTACGATCAGTGGTAAGTTTTGTGCAACGGGGCCAAGATCTTTCAATGTCCCGTAGCTTAGAGGCTCTTTGGGGCGGCCAAGAAATGGCCGTTGAGACATAGGTTCTCCACACAGGTTTCTGTTTTCAGCTGTTCTAGTTACACATATACTGTAGCTGCTCAAACGGCATTCCCATCCACTGCTTGATGTTATCAGTCCATATCCTAGTTGGTCTGCCTCTCTTTCTTCTTCCATTGGTTCCTCCTCGCAAGGTGATGTTTGCCTAGCTATTCTTCCATCTAGTTACATGCCCAAATCACTTCGGCAGTCTTTTTTTTTGGTGATGAGGTGATCATGTTTCCCTATATAACTCTCCACTCTCCTCCTGTCTGATATGTTGGTCTTTCTCTTATCTTAAAGGGATCGTTTAACAATGTTAAATCTGAGATACACGGCCCTACGTGTTATCAGTGTCTGTGATATGGTGAAATATTGAAGCCCTAAAAAATTGCGCTTCAAAATGATCAAGAAGTGCCTCAAAAAAGTAAAAATCTTTGAGTGACCGGTTTTACCATACTCGTTTTCCCCAATAGACTGTAGTGTTATGAAAACCGTCAGGCGAACGGTTTTCAAAATTTGTAATTCCAATCATAAATATCTTGATAATCAGACAGGCGATCGGCTTGTAAAAATCATGGGGTTCCTGACTTACCTAAAGGTTTATAATTATCATTGCATCATGAGCTAAATCCAAAATTTTGTTTCAGAATCTGAGACAAAGTTACCGGATCCCTTTAAGGTATTGAGGATACTTTCTTTCCAGCAGTTCTTTGCAGATAGTGTCCTCTATGTCTCATTTCCCTCTTTCTATACACGCTGTATTTTGATTTTAAAAGTAGAAGTATATCATAGGACAATAAGTTGTCCCCGTAGTGTCTATAACTCAATGATAACATTTGGCACCTTGTAACTTTTTTTTTCCCAACACATCTAATGTAATCTAGTATTTTATTTTTTCCTTTTCTTGATAACAGCCCCAGCTGTAGGCAACATCAGCGAAGCCATAGAATTTATATACCCCTTGGTTGAAGCTCATAGGATGCCACTCAGCGAGGCGACTATACAGAAGAGACTAGCCAGAAAGCGCAAATGGGACGGAGATGTCGAGGAAGATGAAGAGAACACAGACGATGAGTACGCCAATGAGGGCGCCAAAGACGAAGACGACGACAGTGACGAGTGTTCATCGGATGACAGCAGTTGAAAGAGGAATGGACAATTAGCAGCTGTAGAGCGCTGCCATCAGGGTAGACGTTGAAGAAAGAGGCTTTTCTGTATGTCGCTCATCTCAAACTATTTTCCTGTTTCGATGCAGAAAGCCACAGGGTAGCTTGTGATTGGTGAATGCCGAGAAACGACTGGTGTGGTCCTACGTTGGACATCCTCAAGAGAAGATTCTTTTAGCAATTGGATGAAACAGACGCACAACAGAGAAAGATTATAAGCCTGAATTCACCACCGTTTGATTTATCCCATGGTCTACCGCATGGTTGGTTAAAACCTTCACCATGGACTAAGATTATGAATAAGCCTATAGGAGTGTATACAATTTAAATTGCCTGACTATTGCACATGATATACTTCTGGAGGCTTATAAAATGGGGTAAAGTGAGTCTCTTACATGGATTCTGCCCTGCATATCCAAAAGCCCTCTGACTAGAACCCTACGGTGAGAAGAAAAAGAGTGATGAAAAAAAAATTACCTACATGTAAATTCAATGACATGCTTCCATGTTAAGAGTCAAGATATCATCTTTGTATTCTTATCAGTTTGATATTAAGGTACATTTGTGTTTTTTTTAAATGTCATAGATAGAACTCAAAATTTAGTATGAATTGGCTCTCAATCAGACACTCTGTCTCAAAATGGGAAAGAAAGAAAGGTAGATGGTAATGCAAATTTGTGAAAACGTGATGTGATACTCTTAATTTGTCATTAAAGTTTATGAAAAATATGGATGAGATAAAAGTAAACATCATTGAATAGAAATAGTCATGATTGTTTAAACCCTGCAACTCAATTTTGAATCAACATTCGGTCTTACTTTATTAGAGGACTTTACGTTTCGTTCCTTCAGTACCTGAGATGGTGCAGGAGGCATTAATTTAAAATGTAATTTAAAGTCATAATCCATTGAGTGTACAATTGGACTTAGCTGTACACCATCGCTTCAGTCACTGGAGAACAGAGGGTTCATCTTAATCCGTAATATGAATCAAATTATTCCTGTGTATTGATGATCTCTCTTGTGGTACTAGAATGATTTGTTCCAGTCGGGTTGTGGCTAGATGCAGACCTCTATTTTGACCTGGGTTACTGTCTTCACGTAAATAGGGCGCTTTTGCAAACGCAATGGAAGGCAAAGATGATGGTAATGCGAGCTAAAAAAAAATCTGCGCATGCGCAAACCAGAATTTTCTCTGTCTTGTTGATTTTCACGACTGTACGCGGCCATGATAGCGTTCGTTCCCTAAACACGACGGAAGGGCTGTTTAGCCGAAATTCCCCTGTTGTGTTTGTGAAAGCATTTTAGTGGCTCTAGTCTACTTGTAGATCACGGTATCCTCTTGGTTTGGTCTGAAATAAATGCAAATGTAGTCTTAGAACTTCAAAGATACTAGCAAACCAAATTGCTCTGAACTGCCGGTTGGGACCAATGGACAAAACCTACATTCTAATTTAAACAAGGCACCACACAAACATTTTTTGGGAGGGGGTCCGTATCTAACTTTTGTACGGTCTGTATGCATGAGTTGTGTCAACATTTCACAATATGGGGGTATATGCTTGGATTTGGGGGACCTCCATGCGTCCCAAGAAAAAATTAATATTTATTTTAGGGGGGCTACTTTTCAAGCTTGCCTGCATGAAATTAACACTCAAAAATTTGTTTTGCATTGAACTCTATGCATATTTACAGGGGCTCTCTTCTGATTTTCGGGTTCTCTTTTGGGAATTTCGGGGGGCTATTTCGCCCGAGCCCCCGTGTATTTTTTTCTCTGCCTCCATGTGCCCCAAGGTACCTGTTTTTAGTGTTGAGCTTTCTTTAAATCAAAGACCATGTACTTGAATATCCTATTGATAAGAATCCAGCATATGCATTGCTAAGACATCTGAAAAACATAATTGTGTAACTTTGTTTGCCTCTGTATTAATACTAGAAAGGCCAAGTGTCACATGAATAATTTAGTTTCACAAAGATGACATGGTTACAATGTAAATTGTTTTGAAAAAGTGGTAATCCTGAAGCTGGATTAATAGAAAGCTAAGGACATCGTCCAGCTATAAATGTAATTTTTACCTGAATATGAATGGATACATAGTGATTTGAGCCTGTCATTTGCATGTAGTGAATTTACCATGATCTTTATGTACCAAGTGCCTTTTGTTCGTAATGTATGCTCCACAAGGAGAGAGAGCAGATTAAATTAAGTCATTGAAGGACAAGTCCACTCCAAAAATAACTTACTTTCAATAGAAGCAAACAAATCTGACAAACCAATCAAAAAAGGTTTGAGCAAAATAACTCATAAGAAAGTTATGAATTTTTGAAAAAGTATGTAAAACTATGGAACAATGAAAAGCACAAGACAAATTGGGAACTTACCTATCAGTCTGTGACATCACGTCCTCAATATCCACTAATTGTTTTCTTTATATTGATAATATAAATTTCCTATTTTCCCCCTAAGAATCTTTTTTCTTCACACCAGCATCCAAGTTAGATTGACAGTAATATGTTTTTGTGTGGATGCACTCATAGAGTAATTTCTTTTCCAATTCAATCATGACAAATGTATTTATATAAAAATCAGTAATTATGAATATACAATGTTCAGAAAATAGTATCAATTCTTCAAAGTTCATAAACAAATTTGTGAAAAGTCATGCACACAATATGATACAAATCATATAACCTGGGCAAAGGTATGGTGGAATCAAGTTTCGGGGGATAAAAAGGGAACTTAATGGGATTAAACTATATAAAGCAATCGATAAATAGTGAGGACATGACGTCACAAACTGATAACCAAATTGGCAATTTGTGTAGTGATTTTCATTGTTTCATAGTTTTACATACTTTTTCAAAAATTCATAACTTTCTTATTGGTTATCCGATTTTGCTCAAACTTTTTTTGATTGGTTTTTTTTTATTTTTCTGCTTCTATTGAAAGTAAAAAAAAAACTTGGAGTGGACTTGTACTTTAAGAAAGATTGCATGAATGCAGTTCATGGGCATTAGTACACATGGATTGAGATTTAAACTTAAAGTATTACAAGGTTGACATGATTGTTTTTTTAAAGACGAGGATTGTTATGATTATAAAAGTAAAACAAGAAAATGTGAATATGTACAAAAATAAAATAGAACCTTTTTATATGATTTGTCAACCAGGATGTAGGAACTTGCTACAAGTTGAATTAGAAGAAAAAATGTATTTACCGGTAATGTCTCAATTGAATAAATGTAGAGTTTGGAGGAAATGTGAAACGAAAAAAATAGAGAAAAAAAAATGTTTGTTTTGGAAGTAATGCTTGCTGCTATGCTCTTGCATAGCTCTACACAATTCTCTTCTGCTAAATATTTGATTTGTTTTGCCTCGGTTGAACCTGATTGTTTTTATTTTTATATCATCGTGAACCTGTTCTGTCCATGTGTTCTCCTGAATTTGATAAGTATTTGCTAACAATTTTGTTAGACATTTGATGTGTAGGAATTTTGATTCTAAACTGAAAGAAAACAATTCTGGTATTTCACTTTTTGTTTGTCGATGTCAATTAAAAATTTCTATTTCAATTATTTATGGAATTGATTCCTTGAAATGGCAGCCGTGCTAAAGCCGGGATCATATTTGTGGAGTGCCAGGAAGGTCTAAGCTGAAAGACATTGAGCGTTAAACAAGAACCCCCAATAATTATAATTACACTTTTTTTTCTTTCCTGAAGTATGAAATGACTTAATTCTATTGCAACTACAGTGATATTAAATCAAATGAACTTAGGAATAATTGAAAACTTTATACATGTACATATATGTGTACAATGTATATTGTGCATTGTATTCAGAGCGTACAATAGGATTCCTTGTGAAATAGTAAGTCTATTTTCTTTCATGGTACTGCTTTATTTCTTGCCTATTTTGTATTATTGTAATCTTTGTATTGACTTGTTTTATATCCTTTCTATTAAGTTCAAGTGCAGTGAAGAATATGAAGCATCACCCCCTGCTCAAAACCTATCAAAGTACCGAAGCTGTGACATCATAAAAATCTATTTTGGGAATTTCTCATAACATTACGAGCCAGAGCAATATAACACTGAGTTCCCATAGAAAATCTATTTATTCAGATGGTCATATCTCAGCCAATACTTAACCTATTCAATTGGTTTTCAACTTTGGACATTATTTTTTATATTGAGGAATTCCAAAAATAGATTTTTGATGACGTCACACTCACAACTTTATAGGTGTTGTTTCATGAGAATCCTACTGATTGTATCATTTCTAAAATTGATTCTTAGTTTTTGAGACTGGATAGAATTAAGTCAAAATACAGATTGTTGTCACGCATTATAGATTTTTTTGTTCAAGTTGTATTCCAGAAATTACAGCAACATGTGATGAAGTGATGAAATATATCACACATCTAAATGTACATATTACAGTCAAGCCTGTCTATAGTGACCGCCCAAGGGAAACACAAAAAGTGTTCTTTGTAGACGGGTGGTCTTTGTAGACAGTTTTCTTTAGTACATGTTTCAATACGAAACCATTTTCAATGGAAACAAAAAATGTGGTCCTTGTAGACAGGTGGTCACTAATAATAATAATAATAATAATAATAATAATAATAGCCTAATAGTCCACTCCAAATTTTATTAAACCGAAACGGAAATTCTTTTTGCCCAATTGATCGTGAGCCCGGCAGCCACTGAGCAGCGCCAGATCGACTGTGTTTACAGTGTAAGGCATGCTCATTCAGACTAATGTAGAAAAATACATTTTTGACAAAATTTCAGTTATTTATCAGTTCACAAGAATGAAAGTTTATTTATTTCCCCACTACATGACAAGTCTGGTCTCACTCGACCAATATAGTTCAATTCTGAACTGTTTTTAGTCTATGTACTTGTGTCTTCTTTTCTGTATTATTCATGAAGTTTTTTTAATTTGCATATGAAAGGGTAAACAGCATTTGTTTTTGTTTTTAAAGACTGAATGAATGGTAATAAAGCATGCTGCAGCATATTCACTGAGACAAAAAAAAAGAGAAAGGGGAAGTTTATTACTCTAATGTGAAATCATGCCATTTCTGAACGAGATTTAAATGGTAATTTTAATCCAAAATGTGTACATGCATTGCAACACATCCCTCCTAAAAGAGTGTTAACATGGTGTGTTTATTGTAGAATATTTTTTGATCTAACCAAATTTATTTGTGTGTGAACTTATCTTGTGAATTAGAAATAAAGATATTTCTAAGTCGGATAATGTTGATTTGTCAATGTTTACATGTATATGTTGCTGATTTTGAGCTCCATAATATATTTACGAGGAAATAAAAAATTGTAATTCTAAGTGAGATCAATACTCAGAATGTCAATTTCATAGATGTAATTGTTGAAAATGGGAGGAAGGGCTCTAAATTCAATTGCTTGAACTAAACTATGTGGG